TGGGGGAGCACGAGCAAGAGCGTGCGGCCAGAGCTCGGCACAGCGTGGCTGCGCGTTCATTGCTGCTGGAAATAATTTTGGACTTGCCCGTACTTTCGCTGTGAGATGGCATTCGCCGTGAAGGATGCGGGTTCTGAGGGAAACGGGTCCTGAGGCTTTTCGTAGTTGTTTGGCCTTCCCGGGCTCTCCATGGGCTTTGGGACTTTCACAAATGACTCAGAGCCAAACGCTGGTCCTGGGGGAATGCCCCGGGGTCCAAGAAATTATGTTGAAGTAATCGTACTTCTCGGGGTGAGAGGTCATTGCGCTGCCGAGGGCATCACGGGGCGATCCTGAGATGTTTCTAGCAGGTTGATCTTTTTGCAGGCTCGCCTCATCCAACCTCTTTGCTTCTGCCCAAGCCAGGCCACCCGCATCTTGGGGGCTGCGAGGGGTGGTGTGATGGGGAGGGGAGCTTATAGAAGCATCCTGAAGGGGGAGCTCGTAGCGGCAGCAGAGATGGAAGAGTGCCAGAACAAGGCCAGGAGTACGAATGAATATATAGAGCATTGCCCAGGCAGAGGTTGACAGTTGCCGACTTCGTTCCTGCAGCTTTCCCGAAGCAGTTCCAGGCTTTGGCCGAAAGGCGGCACACTCGAACCACACGGCCCGACGGACAGCACAGCAAAAGAGAAAGTTAGACGAGAACATCGTGTTGATGTCTCCTCTCCCAGAAGCAGGTTCGAAACAGCTTCCCTGGCCTCTCACGCCAGATCTTCTCCAGGTGTCTTATCTCAGGCCCCGCGCGAGGCTGGGAGGGACCATCACATCTCTGCCGAGGGGTTCGAGCACAAGGTTTTCCCTGCCTGAAATTCCGGAAGAGGAATGAACTCTCAGCCGCGGGGGTGTTGGCGCGCGGGGTCCCATCCCCCCAGCGCAACCAGAGGAGGAAAAGCGCGAGAGCCCAGATTGTAAACACGATGCAGCAACATGCTAATAGCAGTTGCACTGGGGAAATGTACTAGTACTACTTGCACCCCATTGTTGATCTCCAATAGTGATACGATTTGTGATGTGCTGTTCGTTTCACACTCAGACAAAATATACTGCAGGACCAGGTGCACTCTGGGAGCAGCTGCGCGCTAGTAGATGATAGTACCAGTTGCATTCAAGTACTAGCTGCACTCTAGTCGGACGGGCTCAGGGGGTCCAGTGGCAATGCGCGCATGGAAGAAGGAAACGACTCTATGCGCTGCCAAGGGTCCTGAATTCGACTGGTCGCCGAGAAGGTGGATCCCCCACCGAAGGAAGAAAAGAAATCCGGCCGATGGGTGGGGGGGTCAGGCATGAGTCGCGGGGGCGCCCGCACATCTCGGCAGCGCCACGCTCACAGTGTCACCTTGGCGGAAGCCCCGCTAGCGATATGGCATTGCGAGCACCACGAAAGGTGACCGTCCTTCTTTCTGTGCACCTCCCAGAGCTTCCACACCCAAGAGCTTCCAGAGGTGCTTCTTACGTCTTCTTGCTCGAGAAACCAACCTGTTTTCCTTGTTCCAAAGGGCTCCCCCCTTTCTTGCCCGCACCGCCCCAAGTACGTGCGGGGAGCTGATCATCAGGAACAAAGTTCGCACCCCTGTTCGGAGGCCTCTTGGGGCCATCTGGGGTTTTGTGGGGGTCAAAAAACAAGAACAAAAAGTCTTGCGCTACGTGGGGGCGCATCGGGACGTCATCCTCAACATCCCACCTTGGCGTTAGGGCTCCTCGACAAGCTGGAATCCATTTCGCTACGAGGAGGGAGAAGGAGAGAGCTAAATGTCTTACATGTCGGTGGCAGGGGAGGGAGGGGGGGCGGAGGAGGAGAGAAAGAGGGGCTGGATGGGCAGAAGAAAGATGCGGAGGAGCAGGGGGAAAAGGGAGGAAGAGGACGAGGCGTAGGAGTAAGAGGAGATTTCCGCGTACAACCTGCAAGTGGGGGGGTCCGCTCACGCGGACCTATCTGCGTTCCTTTCTTCTGAGGCACAAGGTTTGGATTTTGCAGCACATACATTGTGCAGACCTGTGCGGTCAAGGCGCTCGACCGTGATCTTGGGCGACGCCCTCGCGCCAACAAACACGCAAGCCCGAGGGTGGGCGAGGGTCGGTTTCGAGCCCGATCCAGGCATTAACCCTGCCTTGCAGCACACCTCCTGGGAACAGCCACGGGCGCAGGAGCGGTGCATCACGCACACTCCCCTGCTGCGTCGCCGCGCGGAACCGATCCAGCATCCGCGGCGACCAACCAGCCAGCCAGCCAAACGGAGAACAGCTTGGCATCGGAGCCCTGTCGGCACCCCCGCACGCAGTCAAGCAACCAACCAGCCCGCGGAGGGAAGGAAGGAGGGACCGCTTGCTGCGTTGCAGCGCACGGCCGTGAGAACCCGCCTGCCGCCCTGCAGCGCACGGCCGTGAGAGCCCGCCTGCTGCCCTGCAGCGCACGGCCGTGAGGGCCCGCCTGCTGCCCTGCAGCGCACGGCCGTGAGACACGCGGGCGCACGCGGTGCACTCCGCGTCGCTGCAGAGGCGCCCAGGCTGTGAAAGGCCTTGCAGCCAAATGGTATGGAAGTCGAGAAGCTCACGCGGGCCTGCACCAAGATTTGCCTGCCCTCCACATCGCTACGCGAGCTGGGGGCTGTGAAGAATCTGCGCCCGCGGCTGGTTTTTTCGGCGGGTTCTGAGTTTCCGAATCCAGCGCAAGCCCTGCCTTCCTGTCCGTGCCTGCGGGGTCATGGCAGTTCTTCTGTGGTGGCCGTCGGTCGGGTCTGAACTAGCCTGACCTGGTCTCGTCCGGCGTGGTCCTGCAGTGCCGGTCTGGTTCGGTCGGGCCGTCTTGTGTGGTCGGGTTTGGTAGGGGCGTTGCGTGTGTGCTTTGGTCTAGTCTGGACGGAAGGATGAGGCGGAGCAGGGGAGGGGCCGGGGATTGGGACAAATCGTTCCAGAGCGTCCCAGGACGGTCTCGGAGCGTTCTGGAGCTCTCCGTGGAATGGCCGCGATTTGTCCCAGCCCGATCTTGTCCCAGTCCTGGCGTCGTCTCGGAAAGAAATGGGAACAGAGTTCTCGGAGCGTTCCAGAGCTCTCCGTGGAGTGGCCGCGATTTGTCCCGGCCCGATCTTGTCCCAGTCCTGGCGTCGTCTCGGAAAGAGATGGGTAGAAAGGAGGAGGAGGAGGAGGAGGAGGAGGAGGAGAAGGTGGAGGAGGAGGCGGAGGAGGAGGTGGAGGAGGTGGAGGAGGGGGAGGAGGAGGAGGAGGAGGAGGAGGAGGAGGAGGTTGAGGAGGTTGAGGAGGAGGTTGAGGAGGAGGAATAGTAGGAGGAGGAGGAGGAGGAGGAGGAGGACGAGGAGGAGGGGGAGGGGGAGGGAGAGGCGAGAAGCCCCACATTCAGAGCCAAGGCAACCTTCCTGAGGGCGTCTCGGCTCTTGCGGGGGCCTCTCGGGCGGTGAAAGCCAGCGCGTGCGCTCACGATGTGCCCCCACGGCCGTATTGGAGGCCTCTTCTTCTGTCTCGGGGGCCTGTGGTGCCTTCTGGGGAACCTCTTGGAAGCCTCTTGAGGGGCTCCGAGACTGGCTCCCGCCGCTCCCATTCCAGATGAAGTTCGCGGTTGCCGCGGTGTGGCCTTTCAGCGGGCCGTGGCCCGCCCACGCTGCCCTCGCAGGGCTGGCCCGTCGGACCGACGGGGCGCGCCCCGCTCTGCTGTTGAGAGCCTCTCGAAGGGACTCCTGGGGGCAAGGGCTCCCACGAGGGCGCGAAGTTATTCGCGCTTCGCGGTCCTCGTTCCTTCTCCCCCTCCTCCTCGTCCTCCTTTTCTCCCTTTGGGGGGGCGGCGCGAGGGCGCGAAGTTATTCGCGCTTCGCGCTTCGCGGAGCGCGAAGCGCGAAGTTGGGAGCCCTAGTGGGGGCCTCCGGGAGTCTCCGTGGCAGTCCCAACAACAGGGCCCTGGGAAGCCTCTGGGGCCGTCTTGCGGGCCCGCTGGCAGCGTCTTGGGGGCCTCTTGAGTCGTCCTGGGGCTTGTTGGGAGCAGGGGGGGATGTAGCGGAGATGGCTCCCGCTGGTGCTCCAACTCTGCCAGAGCATTGTTTTCTAGCACGCATGTCAGCTCAGCCAAAAACCCCAAATAAAAACAACAAAACAACAAAAAAACAAACACAAAAAAACGCATGTCAGCTCAGCCAAATGGGGAAAGGAGCCCTTTTTTCTCCGCTCGGGCCCCGCAATTTGGGACGCCAGGGATGTGAAGCCGCACGATGGCTTCCAGACGGCCCAAGATGGCCCCAGGATGGTTCCAAGGCGCCCCAAGAAGGACACAAGATGGCCTCAAGACGGCGCAAGGCGCCCTAAGATGACCCCCAGATGGCCCCGGACGGACCGAATACGGCCTGGCCAGGAGGTCCTTCTGGAGGGCGCGAGGAAGCACAAATCCGCGCCTTCGGTATAGCTTTAAGTTCGGCGCGTCCCTCTATAGTTATGATGCTCCAACCTACCTTAACCTTGATCACCCGGAATTTCGAGCGCCCCAAAAAAGCACCGAAACTCAATGGGGTTTTCACGTGTCGGGCCCCGGGAGACACTCGCCCAACACTGTTTCGACACTCTTTTGACACTTTTCCGGCTGCTCGAAATTACTTATTTCTGGAATGTGGCCTTTAAGTAGAATGGGAGCAACATAATTCACAGGAGGAATATTCAGAAATAGTCAAAAAATAGTATGGGGACTTGTTTGAAGTATTTGTTGACCATTTGGGGGCATGTATTGAGCATTTTAGTTGTCGTCCAAAATCCCCCTGTAGGAGGACAGACAGGCCCGACTTCAGTATAGCTGCGAAAGAGTTTGGCGTTCGGGCTTTTTCGGGCGTCCGGCAGCCCAAGCGGGCCGACGAGACGGCCAAGAGGGCCCCGCCCCCGCCGCCACTTTGGCCCAAGCCTCGATACGTTCGGTCATCCTACCCCGCATCCGCAACTCCGCTGCCACAACCCGCACCTCGGGCAGGATGGCGCGCGTCTTCCCGGCGCTGGCGGCGGCGCTGCTCGCCTCGGCCTGCCTGCGGGCGGCCGCCCTCGGTGTCGAGCGGCCGAAGGGCGCCCGCCGCCGGGCCAGGGAGCGCCTGGACCGCGCGGATCGCCTCCGCTACGAGGGCGAGGATCCGGCGCCGACGGCCCCGCCCGCCCCGAAGGTCTACTGCCCTCCCGACGAGGTGGCCCTCGGCGCCGGCCAGGACGTGCCAGGCCGCCTGCCCGCGGTGTGCCAGCCATCGACGCGCCCCGGGGCCATTGCCGAGCTGCGCGGCAGCTTCGACGCCCACCATAAGGCCTCCATCGCCGCCGCCTTCGCGGGCTCGGAGGCCGGCGCCTACCTGACCGTCGGCTCCTGGCGCGAGGGCCCGCTCCTGGGGAACTGGCTCGCCCACGCGTGGGCGGCCGCGGAGCTCGGTGCGCGGCGCGGCACGGCCGTCGTGAGCGTCGCCCTGGACGAGGGGGCGATGAGCGGCTGCGAGAACTTCCGCGCCTCGCTGCCGGGGGGCAGCGTCGCCTTGCGCTGCGTCTCCCTGGCTGGCTGGCTCCCGCGCGCCCTGCTCAACGCCAGCTCCGCCGAGGCGAGGGCGGGGGGCTGCGAGAGCGGCGTGGCACGCTGGGCCCGGCCGCTCATTCTGCAGGCAGCCGTAGAGGCGTCTGGTCACCCCGTCTTTCTGGTGAGTGCGGACGTGATCATCCTCGAAGAAGAAAAAACGCCATAAACATAAATGTTTGGTGCTCCACGCGGAGTTCTTGGATCCGCGCTGGGCGCCCCCCCCCCAGCCAGCGGCGCCCCCGGTGCCGCCCCTGGCGCGCTCCGCGCGCCAGGGAGGGGGGTCCAGCGCGGATCCAAGAAATCCGCGCGGAGCGCCAAAAGATTATGCTTATGACGTTTTCTCTTGTTCTACATCCGCAAGGACATGATGGATTTGGGCGCAAGCCTGCTCGTGAGTGGAAAGAAGCAAATGGCAGTCGCAGCGGAGGGCAACGGCAAGCTCAACACAGACGCGGTGTTCGCCACGAAGGCGAGCTTGAACTTCCTGGACAAGTGGGCGGATCAGGCTGGTCAGTGCTTCAGCAGCCCTGAGGTGGATAAAAGCGCTTTGCAGCAAGTGCTTCACTACGGGGGTATGGGGAAGCTGCTGGGGACCTTCTACGCCACCGAGGTCGGAGAGTGCATGAGGAGGGGCGAGTTCGCAACGCACTTCAATTGCGCAGGCAAGCGCACATCTTCTGTCATGAAGAGCATGCACGATTGGGTGGAAGGCATAACCGTGGACCCGAAGCAGGTGATGCAGCCTGGTCAGGTGTTCGATATGGCCGTGCAAAAGCGAAGTCTCAAAGCTAAGAATGCATAGGCTGCCGCGGAAAGTGTTTCTTCTGTTCCCCTCCTCACCCTCCTTTTCCTACTCCTGCTCAGCCTCCTCGTCATCTCCCACCGTCTACAGCTCTGAATGTGTTGCGCTAATCTGCAGATCTAGCCGGCATGAGGTGTTGCTCGTGCCAGCCACTTCCGACATGCGACCAAGCCGCGACCTCGGGAGCAGAGGCGCCCGTGAGTGAGGCTCGCGGAGTGGCGCGTTTGAAGAAAAACAACAGCAACAACAACAATCATGTTAAGACTGTTCGCTCTTATCTGCTCGAGTGTCACTCAGCGTGAATTTCCCGAACCCTCGATACCCGCCCTCTTGACACAGACCCTGTTCCGACCAGGCCCGGTTCCGACCCGCCCGGTTCCGCCGACGCCCGGTTCCGACCCGCCCGGTTCCGACCAGGCCCGGTTCCGACCAGGCCCGGTTCCGACCAAGCCCGGTTCCGACCCGCCCGGTTCGGACCCGCCCGGTTCCGCCCCGGCCCGGTTCCGCCGCCAGAGGGGCGCGCAGTCCGGGCGCTTGGGGCTTTCGCGCGGCGGAACAGGGCCGGTCGGAACAGGGCCGGCGGAACAGGGCCTGGGCGGAACAGGGCCTCGGCGGAAGAGGGCCGGTCGGAATAGGGCCGCGGCGGAAGAGGGCGGGCCGAAACAGGGCCGGTCGGAAGAGGGCCTCAGCGGAACAGGGCCTCGGCGGAACAGGGTTGGCGGAACAGGGCCGGCGGAACAGGGCCGGCGGCCCTGTTTCGCAGTACTAGTAGTAGTAGTATTAGTACAAGTAGTAATCGTAGTGGTATTCGTGGGAGTGGTAGTAGTCGTGGTCGTAGTCGTAGTAGCAGTAGTAGTAGTAGTAGTAGTAGTAGTAGTAGTAGTAGTAGTAGTAGTAATAGTAGTAGTAGTAGTAGTAGTAGCATAGTAGTAGTAGTAGTAGTAGTAGTAGTAGTAGTAGTAGTAGTAGTAGTAGCCGTCGTAGTCGTAGTAGTAGGAGTAGTCGTAGTAGTAGTAGTAGTAGTAGTAGTAGTAGTAGTAGTAGTAGTAGTAGTAGTAGTAGTAGTAGTAGTAGTAGTAGTAAAGTAGTAGTAGTAGTAGTAGTAGTAGTAGTAGTAGTAGTAGTAGTAGTAGTAGTAGTAGTAGTAGTAGTAGTATTTCAAGTAGAAGTAGAAGTATAATAATCATAAGACGTCGTAGTAGTAGAGGTAGTAGTAGAGGTAGTAGTAGTAGTAGTCGTAGTAGTAGTAGTAGTCGTAGTCGTAGTAGCAGTATAGAGTAGTAGTAGTAGTAGAGTCCGTTGTAGCATTATAGTAATAGTAATTACTAGTAGTAGTGGAGTGGTGGTAGTAGTCGTAGTAATAGTTTAAAACTTTAAAATAAAAAAATAAAGTTTTTAAAAAAATTAAGTAGGAAGGAGCAGTAGTAGTATAGAAGTAGTAGGAGGATAGTAGTAGTAGTTAAGTGGTAGTAGTAGTAAGTATAGTAGTATATTATAAGTAGTAGTATTAGTGAGTATTAGTATAGTCGTAGTAGTAGTATGGTAGGAGCAGTAGTAATTGAGTAGTAGTCGTATGTTGTTAGTAGTATAAGTAAGTAGTTTTTTTAAAAAATAACAAAAAAAAAAGTTAAAATTAGCGTCGTCGTCGTCGTCGTCGTCGTCGTCGTCGTCGTCGTCGTCGTCCGTCGTCGGTCGTCGTAGTAGTAGTAGTAGTAAGTAGTAAGAAGTAGTAGTAGTATAGTAAAGTAGTTGTAATAGTAGTAGTAGTCGTAGTCGTAGTAGAAGAAGTAGTAGTAGTAGTAGTAGTAGTAGTAGTAGTTGTTGTTGTTGTTGTTGTTGTTCGGGCGGGTCTGCCTTCACCTGTTCGCCGCAATGCGAATGGACGGGCGGGCCCTAACGGTCGGGTCGGGTCGGGCGGGTGGGCCCTAACGGGCGGGTCGGGTCGGGCGGGCGGGACATTCAAGTATGTTGCGTAATCGAGCGGGCACGCGAGTATTCTAACGGGCGGGACGGGTCGGGTAGGGCGGGCGAGCCCTGACGGGCGGGTCGGGTCGGGCGG